GCATGTTAAGTGGGAGGGGCCCGTGAGACAGCCACAAGCAGCGGTTCCTACACAGCTGGAGATTCAGCACCAGAGGTCAAGGAGGCAGGGAGAAGATATCCGTTCTCATCATGAGGCTGAAGACACCAAGGCAGAGGGCAGGGGACAAGAGGAGAGTGGGTGGGACACAGAGGCCTGGAGTATTTAGGGAGTAGAAGATGTAAAAATGATCAGTAAAACAGAGTGGGAACTAGAGAGCAGTGGCACAGTGAAAGAGACAGAGGCTCGAGGTGGGGACAGGGTGTGTGACAGTTCCAAGGCCCAGGAAGATGAAGTCAGGCCAAGGAAGAAAGTATCCAGTGTCCAGGAGGGTGGCTGTCTTCAGCGACTTTAGCCTTGGTAGTTTGGTTAGGAGATCCAAAGCAGACGGCAACGATGGCAGAGGGCTGAGCAGGCCGCAAGGCAGTGTGGACAGCCCCGGTGGACAATTCCTCCAAGCAGCTGGGCTGCGAATGACAGGAGGGAGAAAAGGAAATTGAAGAGAGATGTTAGAAACACGGGACAAGGGCGGCGAGGTTTTCAGGTTAGACGAGTCTGTTAGATGGTGATGGGAGGTTGGTGGGGAACAGGCTGAAGATGTGAGGGCAGTGATGGATGGAGGAAGGTTCCAGAGGAGGTGGTGAGGACAGCCCTGGGCAGAAGGACACCTCTGCCCTCGCTGGCGAGGGATGAAGAGGAGGCAAACAAGGTGCTTTCCAGGGAGCTCTCAGGTTTCCTAGGGACTGAGAGGTGATCAGTTTTGTCAGTGGACAGGATGGATTCTCTTTTGCTGACAGGGACAAAGAGAAATAATAAAGTGGAGGTTTTAAAAAAGAGGTAAAGATACCTGGGCATGGTAGCACAAGCCTATAATCCCAGCACTGAGGGAAGTTGAGGCAGGAGGATCACAAGTTTGAGCCCAGCATGGGCAGCTTAGTAACTTAGCAGGACCCTGTCTCAAAATTTTAAAAAGTTTTCTTTAAAGGACTAGGGATCTAGCTCAGTGCAAAGGCCCTGGGTCCAATCCCCTGTACTATGAAAGGAAG